CACCTCATCACACCACGTTTGTATTGCACGGGGAAATAACTATAATAATTAAGGTATTGACCTGTCCACGTTGGTTTTCTAAAAATGGATCGTTTGACTCAGCCATCTTGTCGTTTACTCAGAAGTATATCTAGGAAGGGAAGCTGATCGTTCTTCTCCTCTTCACAAGAGAGACTGATATGGTTTTGGAGAGTGTTAAATTTATTTAATAAACGGTACATATCCTCATTTCTTCCATAAACAACTAAGATTCGTCACATATCTCTTATAAAGTGACATGTTTTCGATTAGGTCATCAGCCAGATTTTCAACATGTGCCATGAACACATCTGCTAATAGTGGTCCTGGCGGACTACCCATAGCAATACCATCAATCTGACGAAAGTATTCCCCTTCAAATGTGAACTGAACTTTGTCAGTACATAATAATAGTAAATCTCTAAACATTTTTGAAGGGACACGTAATTTAAGATTGTTTAAAGATATGTAAACACATAATATATCAATAGTTTTTTTCAGAGGTACATTTGTGAACAAGGAATTCACATCAAATGAACACACTGTTATTTCCGTGATATTAATATCACTTAAATGATCGACCAGTTTAAAAGAATACTTACATATACGTCTTCGGATAGGGCCCAACAATTTTGTTAGCCATTTAGCTAGGTTATGTGTAGGTGATCTGTACATTGATAAAATGGGACGTAAAGGAATGTTTGGTTTGTGAATTTTAGGTAGTCCATATCAATGAAGGTACTCGGAACCCGAAGGTTGTAGAAAATTAAATTCCTCTTTATTAATAATATTCGTGTGTTTCAATTTTCTAGGTTTGAATTTATACTTCCCTTTAGTTTGCCAATACCTTCAAATTCAACATCAGGCATAAATTTACTTTCATCACTGAGGATGGATAACTTCTTACTTTAATATTCACATTTATTCATGATAATTACGCCTGATCCTTTATCAGGTTTCAACAAGACACTATCAGGGTTTGTTGGTAGTTCATTTAATGATTTAAAGTGCTGAGAAGTTAATATGCTTCTCTGCTTTGGTCCAGCATTATGAAATTTGTGTGCTATATCCACTAATTTAGCTTTACACCAACTATGATTAATAAAAGACGTAGGGGCTAAAGTACTCAGTTGATCGTATAGATTTTCAGATTGGGCATTTAATTATAATTCAGACATTCGCGTTATAGGGACCGAGAAATTAAAACCAAGAGCAAGTGCTTCCTTTTCATTGGCAGATAATACAATGGAAGATAAATTAGTGACGTACTTATCAGGATTAACTGGAAATAAATTAACATGATTAGTAATAATACAAGATTTTCGGGCTTTTTGCAGATCCTTTACTTTGTTTTCAAAATGACCATACTGCAAAAGTTGATGAATTTAATATGGCAGATTACAGATATTTCACACCACTAAATATCTACAATATTTAGATTTAAAATGGCTAACTATATGCGATTCAAAAAAATCAAAAGATTAGAATACTTTAATAGAATCCGTATATATATACGATCAGAAAACGTACCGGAGCTTCGAAGTAGTTAATGTGAACCAAATCTTTATAAAAAGAGTACTTTACAACGTCGTAATTCAATTTAGAGTCTAAACATAGTGTATAAATCTATCGAGTGTGGACAACGAGGTTGAAGATGACTATTAGCATGTGGTATTCTTGTGATAGCATTGGAAAGCATAATGGATGAGCTGTTTAAATAATAGAAGGGACATGTGGCACTTTAAGTTTTGGCCTGATGAGAATCATGAAAACTCAAATTCGCTGAAAAAAACAAAGGCGTAAGTTCGAAAAACTAATCCTTCTACTGTTATTTTTTACGCACTCTTTATATTCTCTGACGATTATTGAGATAAACGTTTCATCAAACATGATTGATAAATTCTACTGAATAAGTGTTTCGGCCACTGATTTTCCTCGCCGATTTATGTATAATTATTGAGGTCAGTCTGCATTTCAGAATTTGCAAAATATGTGGTTATATGCCGCTTACTTTAACTTTTTTTATTTATCGGTTTACCATTTGGAAAGTAAAGGTGCTAAATAAAAAAATTATCGTTTATTGTAAACCTTGATAGATATTTTAAACGTTTTCACCACTTGTTGCTTGGCAAGGCTTTATTTAGGCATCTCATGCTGCATTTGTGGACCTTACATCTGAATACCATTATTTGGGACGCAATGTATGAAACTCTAATTTTGACAAGATACACGATAAGGGTATCAATATATGTAGACAAAACAAGTCCAAACGTCTTTAATTCCTGACTTATGGTGGAGGTAGAATAAAAAAAGCGGTAGGAAAGAGTGGAAACGGATCAATGACAGTGAATCGCCAAACAGTTTAGTAGTGGGAAATGTTGGCTTAAATAACTGAGGACAAAGTACATGAATTTTTTTGGGCGCCCTGTTTTAGGAATATTTTTTAAGTAATGATTCATTTAATTGTTGGTGAATAAATTCCAAAGTCTTGAATTACTGAGACAGTTTGCTGTATATATGACATTACTAAAGTGACGTTAGTTTCATTTCGATCGTCAATATATACTCGAATTTTGTCCGAACAAAGACGTATGTGGAAACCGTCAAAGTTTTACTAAAATCGTATGTTCTCAGAGTAAAGCAAATTAGCATTGAAATAAAACAAGAATCTACGATATTGATTAATACGTCATCACACAATAAAATTAGTACGAAACACCTTCTGATAGTTGTCTATAAAATAGTCCATTTTTCGGAAGTTGATATGAAAACAGGTAAACATTATCAAAGCATTCCGCAAACCAAAGCAATTATATATTAGTAATTTTCTATCTCCCAATCTGTGTTCTGCATTAATTTCTAGTTTTCCGGAACAATAAAACCTGCTGAGTCATTTGGATGTTGCATGATTTTCTATTTTCACATCTGTGTACCAATGTACCTTTGTTTAGAATGAATAACATATAGCTACCAGAAGATACTGTTCAATATAAGCATTTAAAGTATTTCACATATGCATGCGCTATTGTGCGTGGCTGACCAATATCATAAAAGGGCTACCGAATTTGATATTTCAACTTAACGGTTTTCCAAAAAAATAGAATTGAAGGGTAGATATTAAAAAGGGGAAACTAAAAATCTGCTTTATTTCTTAAGTTAAGAAAATCCATATATCTTGGTTATAAAATACATCAAAGGTAAAGGGAAGGATGCAGCCATATTAAGCGATATATTTTTGAAGATAACAAGTTTGATAGAGAAGTGTTCAACATGATATAACTACAGAATATTAGACAGCAATAATAACTTTAAAACTTGGACAATCTAATGCAGAAATGTGACAAATGAAAGTTTAGAAGAGGATCTTGAATGTTTCATCGAAAATTGCAATCTTTCCGTTATTGTTCTAATGTGACTATCACTTCTTTCCTAACTGTTGGATTCTTTACTTTGTTCACATTTATAAACTTTATCGATTTCGTGTCACATTCACTGTCAGTACTCGAATCAAATGGTTAAAATAGTATATTTGTAGTAAATTCTCAAGTTGAAAACATTCAATGATAAAAATGGAAAACAAAATATCTGAAAATGTTTTTTCTTAAAATTTCATTTTGAAATTACATATGGAATCTACAAAATTCAGAATTTAGATAAAACATAAATAAATAGATTTGCATAAATATTGATCTCATTAAAAATTAGTTTAGCATAAAAGTATTCGTAAAATAAATAAATGAATAAATATTCTTTAAATACAATCATTGTTGCTATGCATTTTCTTTTATTAAATAACCAATAAATTCAGCTGGAGGTTCATCCATTGAATGTTCAATTCTTTCAATTTTTCCAGTTGTTAATCGAATTAATTTATGTCTAAATAAAAAGAAGTTTGTATAATACATCATATTCAATTGTGAAATTTATGTGTCATATAGGAAATAGTTTATAAGTTTATTAAATGTTTCATAATTACACATTCAATTACGTTTATACAATGAACATAATATTTTATTTCATTTAATTTGTCTATTGTAAATGGAATCATTCAATGAAAATAATTTTCTTAAAGATTATTTATGAGATTTATCTGAGTATCACTAACTTTAGGAATGTTTATTAAATTCCATTATGTTTAGAAGATTAGAACGATGTGGAAACTTTTAGTTATTTAGTTATAATGTAGTGAATCTACTAAAAATATTAAAAAAACTGAGTCAAACTAGTTCGAGTTCCACGAAGACTATCCATTTCCTGTAGGTTAAAGGTAGATGATAACAATGAATAGTAACTAGCATGAAACCTCAGTTCAAGATGCCCTGCAAACTATTTTCAACCAAATGATAACAAATGAAGAAAAAAGTTAGAATTTATAAAAGTTAACGGTTTGGTTGGTTGGTAAAGTTTTAATTGATCCTAAAATGTCTTAATCATTTTTCATACATTAACATTATATTGGATTGATGTTTGCAACAGGAACAGTTCAGGTTGATATGATGGATTGATATTTTACAAATTAACGATTTGCTATATGGTTTTTCTATTTTACCAAGTAGCTCTGTAATTTTGTGCTAAATACATTCGGTTGTCCCCACTCGTGTTCTGTTCACTACAATATTTGATGCATGATGATAATATAAAACTTAAAATGTGAAACAATGATTTTCATGGGAGGTGTGTATTAGGTAAACGAGTAACTGCTTATTCTGTAATACATACAAACTAAATAGATGTTTTATGTCGTTAGAACACTATTTTTCTATTGAACACGTTTATTTTATGCTATATATATTTTTTTACTTAAACACTGTCTTTAGTGCGATAATTTGGTAATTGACATCACTATGATTAATGTCATTTGGAAGTGTGCTGAAAATATTGAAAGTCTTAAAAGTGATACATTTGACCTGAAACTTGACCGGAGCGTTTTTCACTTTGTTTATACAAACATTTTTGAATAATGTCAAGATTATCTTCTAAATATTAACAGAAATCTAAAGTAAATGATCAATTTATTACCTTTTGCAAATATCATTGACAAAAGCATCATGCTATCAATTAGTTGAGTCTGATTGTAATAATATCCAATTCCATCAAATGTTTAGTCATTATCTATATACTTTTGAAGGAAGGAAATTTTATTATAGAGAATTATCAACTACCTAATCAGACATTATAGTGACATTGCATCTTACATGAAATTAACCAAAAAGATGCTTTAATCTATTAACTGTAAAATGATAATTATACAACAAACATCTATAAAATAATCAATATATTCTTAATCAAACTTACTTTTTAATTGACTTGCAGTATAATAGTCGAAGATGTTCAAGTTTTTTACAACCTTTCAGTAAAAAACTTAAAGATGTTTCCCTACAAATGTATAAATGTTTTTATATATATGTTAAATAAAAGAGTTTCGGAAAATTGCTAACAGAAAGTCAATTTTTACGGTATTTATAATCTTTGGTTCGGTAAAATATAGGTATAATTGCACAAAGTTATAAATAAGAAGAGTATAAATAATTACATCATTTTAAGATATTCATGACTTTTATTTCTTTGATCAATGTTTAGAGGTAGAATTATTCTTCATCAAGGATACTGGTTATTGAAATAGGGTTAACAGTTAAAAATAAAGAGCCAGTTCTCCCTCTCGAAATGCTCTCACATGGCCACGTGCATACAACCACTACCAACGAAGTCCTACTCACTGCCTTCTCATGGAAGGGACGATTTCTGCGAAATTGAGAAAACAAAAAGCGAACGTCCAGCGCTTTAATCAGGTTAGTGGATACAGATGATCCACCTACACGAGTTGGAAAGCTCTGCTTCAAAACCAACGGTACACATGAGCTCCAGGATCCTGAAGTAACAAATGGTGTATGAACCAATTATTGGTCACTGGCTACCTTGTGACCGCATCTCCTTACGTCTCTCCACTGCTTTGTGGATTAGACCATTAGGTGAAATGCTTGGGGTGTGACCCCTCAAGAAAGCCAACTGTTTCGATCTGGGTGCCCGGACAGTATCCCAGGCCTTACACAAATCGAATGATTTATGTGGCGCATATCTATTTGGTGCCTTCTTGTACTAATGTTTACGTGTTTAAATAGATAAATCAAGTTATTAGGACGTTCGTTGTTCAGATGTTTTTAACGTCAAAATCTTGTCTTATAGATAATAAAATGATGAAAACTATTAACAAAATGAGTAAACATAGTAAATTCTCAAGTTATTCAGCAACCTTGAAACTTAATTAAGTCACACATTAATTGTGCTAAAAATTATCAAACATTGTTTTAAACATGTGTAAAAATATATTTAGCAGAGTTGCATATATCAATATTTTTTAAACAAGTTGTTTTAAACTTACGTGATCAATTCACAACCTGACAAATCAAGAAACTTTAGATAATGACATACTCCGGAAATATATTGTACAGCCATATCTGTCAGCTTTAAGAGAGATATAGTGAGTGAAAAAAAGTAACAATGAACGGATACTTACCAGCTTACACCCAGCTAAATTAATACTGGTAAGGAAATGACAACAAAATGCTAGTGTTTTAATTCCATTGTTTGTCAAATTCTAAATGGTTTATAAACATTGCAATTTTAGAACATCATTTAAAACCAAACTTAATTTACGTGACAAAATGATAAATCAATAAATTCCAAGTTTATACCAAGATGTGCAAACTTTTGCAATCCTAAATCAGTGATGGCGGTACATTTAGACACTTTCAGTTCATGTAATTTAGGCAGTGATCCAAGAGCCGACAAACCCTGTAAGAAAGCGAAAATAAGGTTGATTGATGAGATATACCGAAATCCAAGGCTCTTATAATTAATGGATAAAAGAAATATTCTAAACAAATAACTAAATACGGTTCACTAACATTAGCTATTTAATTAACACTGATTTTTCTGCTAGAATGGAATGCAACGAACTGATGAAGAAATCAATTTAGTAGTCTACTTTGCCTTTAAGTCACAGTCTGGAGAGTCATTTGAAGACGAGAGTGAAACCAAAACCCTATTGGCCGATCAGGTTAGTAAATTATCTGGTAGATAAAAAACGATTACTGAAAGGTTAGTATTGTGACGACTCCATATCATGCTTTTTTAACAAAAATCAGCGAATTAGTTATACCTTTTAAACAGACCACTGAAGCTACTCATTGCGAAACTTCCTAATTAACATAGAGGTAACCACGTCAATTTGATTGATGAGGGATGGATTATTATGTTAAGAAGATATAGAATGTGCCGTCAATGTTTAATAATCTGACGTATCGTGATTAAAGAAAAGTTAAAATTTCCGTCCAAGTTCAAACTTACTCGATCACCAAGTTTAGTAGAATTTAAATTTATCTGCCATAACTTTTGTAGCTGACCTAGGAGTTCGAAGGCTCCATCAGAAATCAAGGGGCATGATGCCAAACTCAAGTAAGCTAAATTAAGTAGTCTAAAATAAAAAAATCAAAGTTTATTTATGTAAAATGCAAATTACATTAAAAATTCCACTTTACGTATTAAAGTAGTGTAGTTAAACCTCATGTTATTAAGACAAACATAAGCAGTTGATAATGTAAGCAGCATCACTACTCACCGTGCACTCATTAAATGAATCGCCTTATCAGTTAATTTGTCACATCTTGCTAAGTACAGTTCTTTTAAATTATCCGCGTATGCCCCATCAGTTAATAATTTTATACCTTGATCTGTAAGACTTTCACATCCACTTAACTTTAAAACAGTTAAATGCGGCAAAGGTATTAAATGTTGAAGCAGGATATCATTCATCTAGAAGCAACAATGAATGAAAAAACCAAGTAAGTAGTACATAAATTTGTGCATATATACTTTCTATTTTATATTTATAGAAAACAAACTGAAGCTAGTGAAACGCCTGAGTAGAACAGGAGTAAGAATACGAAATAACATTATAGCATTAAGGTTTCTTGAAAAGTGTACTTTCGAAACTTTAAGAAATTTCAGATGTTTCCAATTACTGACTAATAAGATTTCAAGGATTCTAATTTTACTGATTATAAATTTCTACACGATTGATATAAAAGATTAGCCATATCTCTTAAAGTATTGACATTTCAGATGACACTGAACGTGAAAGTTCATTGTCAGACTTGCCCTGAACTTATGTCCTGAAACTAAATCAGTGCATCGTTTGTGGTAACTTGTACGATTTTTTTTGTTGTAATCCACTCATTCTTAGGCAAATACTTTTTTGATGCTGCCTTCCAAAATCTGTTATTTGAATTTTTATTTTTGTACACAATCCTAAACAGTTCATAGGGTCAGTTGATTTAAAGAGAGTAGGAAAATTATGTATACTAGCCGAGTATATTTCATCAGACGTAACTCACCTTTGGACAATCAACGAATGAAATTTCCAGTAAATTTAAACTACCATTTTCAAGGAATCCAGAATTCAGTTTCGATAAACGATGAGCTTTACTTTTAGAATGTCTTCTTGATACATTATCATTTGGTACAATATTATTCAATCCAGATCCATCTATTGAACTCATATTTGAAACAAGGAGTTTATTTAAACTTTTCCCACATACTGATTGTAGACCACAATCCGTAATTAAACAACTAATAGTTGAATTTGAATTATTTAGAGTTGAATCAGCATGTTTATGAATTAAACCAATAGATGTGATTGGTCTATTTTGCTTATTTTTTATTTGTACGGCACCATCGACTGGAGTTGATTTTTCATGGAAAAGACAAGTTTTTGAAAGATAATTTAAACCGGATATAATTACGTTTTGATTATTGACCATTTCTAACATGTGTATTACTGAACAGTTAGATCCAAGAACCTTCAAAGAGAGGGAAATTAAATAGTCTAAATGCTTTGTGGTCGAATCACTATAATAGTATTATACATTGACTACCCTGTCAATCGGTTTACTTTACATTCTGACACTAAACTCTACATTTTCAGCCGACTCATCATAATACTTTAGTTATTCTGTGTTTTTCCTTTTCCACCCATAACTGTTTGTTTGAACTATTTATGTATCAACCCGTGGGAACTAATTTCTTATTGGTAGGAATTGCATTTCGGTGTACCGTTTTCCTTTTTCTCTTGGACCAATCCAAAACGTAGTTCTACATGTCCAGCTGATAGAATATTATGAAATCAATGAAATCTGTAAATTTTAATCAAATACAATTTTATGAGTCTTTTCACAGTAATTATGTCACTTCACATGTCTACGTCAAAATATGTGGCTGATAATGCTATTTATAGAAACCTGTTGGTTCTGGGTTTACCACTAAACAAGAGTTTGTCAAACAACTTAGACTTTTTGGGGTTGAAACTCGGCCATTCAATTATCGGTGATGGCTATCGTAAAGAAAATGATTTTTACATTGAATGCGTATGCAAAATAAAAAGTCATCGAATGTGGCAAATCGTTTTGTCACCAAGAAAGTATGTTTCCCCATACCTACCCTGTATCTAATGTCTTGGGCAGACATTTGAATGAGAATATAAGTCCTTCGTTCATGTTCTGAAGGTAGAGTGGTTGTTTACATGCATTAGATAGTTAGTAAGTCATAACTTTGAGTTGCTGTGTGTTATTTACTAGAGAAGCCCGGAAAAGCAAACAAGGAACATTCACTCTTTAATATTGTCTGGAGATATCATATTTGTCATGATTATTGGGACGACTTCGTAAAGCACAGAGAAGCCCTCAGAAGCCTTAAAGGAGCAGAAAAGAATCCATCCAGTCAGAACCTGCTATAGCCTTCTAAAATATCAACGTGGCATGCTACGACTGAACGCTGGAATAACTTGTCTCCTTGCCGGGCGGTTGAATTATAATGATGTTATAGTAAATACTAATAACTATAAATATCCATGTTCTTCTGTGCATTTTAGATTCTTACCGAATAATCACTTTAATTGCTTCTTCCATCTTCTGATTTGCGACTGTGGAGTTCTACACATTCCAGTGACGTTGATTGCATATCGTATTCTGCCATAATCAAGTAGGGGACATAACAGTAATGTACTTCGACATATAAGTTCAACAAATCTCAGACAGTTTTATCATATTTATTTATTAAAGCCTTTTGTACAGCTCAAATACGTTTGGTTAATTCACCTTGATTTGCAAGCTAAAATTATAGTAAAATTATCTAGCAGAAACGTGATGATCCAACTAGTGAAATGTCCTGAAGAAATAATACAGAGTTGATTATTCATACTTACATTAAGATCAGTATCTGAAATCCATGGAAGATCGTTCAGTATCCAATGTTCCACTTGTGTCACACTTTTAATAATCGTTTGTAAACCAGCCGACTCAATCTGAAGTTATTAGGTTCAAATAAAAAAAGCCATTCTCATCTTGAGTAATAGATACATATTTATAAATGATATGAATTACGGTACAAAATACTACGATTTATTTTCATTGAGTACCATGAAGAAGATATTTTTCAAAATACACATCTTGAATAATTACCAACAAAATACTTAGAATTTGATTTCATATTCATACAAAGTGTACCAGTACACTTTTCCGTTAAATACTATATATGTGCACATAAAGAATCAAATAGTATCTGATTTGGAATAAATATAATGAAGTGGAACATACTAAGCAGATTTTAATACTCACTTTTCTTTTCACCTTGAATATTTTATTAACATGAAAAAGTAAGTCAGAATAAGTGTTGTTCAAAATAATTTCAAAGAAATGATACAATACAGAAAGAATGTTGCACAACAGAACCTTATTTTCGAAGATGTTCAATAGTAAATATATATAAAGTAATTGCTCCCAACCATCTGTCATAAGTTGTGGTCATCTTAAGTAACATAAGATGAATAATATTAAATTCCATTTAGAAAAACCTATGACGTTGATTATAAAAATATCACATGGACCTGTTAAAGGTTTTGGATGCAAGATTGACGTTTGTGATTTGCTATAGTGAAACATAATAATTATTGGTAACCTACTAACTTGTTGATAAAGAAAACATCTTGTAAATGACTCAGGAATTTACGACTAAAATACAGTTATCCATAGAAGGTAATTTATGTTTTACAGTTTAAAAGATTAGTTATTTTGTACATTTCATATGTTAGCTGATAAATCTAAACAATCAACAGACGAAATATGATCCAGACAATGAGGATCAGCATGGACCATTATTCGACTGTATGGCCCACATATAACAAAGATGTTTATATCTGTACAACTAAAAACTGAAACTGATAAAGTAAGATCACAGATAAATGAAAATAGGTTTTTTTTAAAAAAAACATTTATCAATATTAAAGAGAATACATAGGTAGATTTACAAAATAGATCATGTTTTTAAGTGTTTCATAGACCATCATTAACTATATTCAAAATACGATGAGACTAGAATTTGTGGACGACCTTTGAGTAACGCTAAAATGAACTTAAGAGTGTCCACCTAATAACTAGGACTAATTGAGGGTTATAAACCAGTGTAAGGAATTAGAATTAGGATTTACATTTGATGGTTAAGGTTAAGAATTAGATTCATGGATTTCATTACGAACCGTCAAAACTCTATTTAAACAAATGGATGAGTGAATTTCGCGCCCAAATCCAAGACCTGTTATGTTATACCTGATTGGTTCGTCCATAAATTATAGTGTCGCTCAAAATACAATTAATGAATTTAGTAAACGTGAATTCTTTATTTGATTAAGGAAATGCTTTCTGAATTATATCATATAACGTTAGATTAAATAGTTGTTCTGAATTTTTCAATACACTTGAAATTTTTCTCTCATAATGTCAGTTAACAGTTTTGAAGTAGAAGAACTATACTCTCATATATAAACATAAACGTGTGTGCTAAACGCTATTGAGTTTGAATGCCGCCTGAAATCAAGTTATGTGGTGTTTAAATAAGATATTGCATTATTCAATGAATTTATTGCTGGTCATATATGACTGTTGCCAGAGATGAACACGGTATTTTTGATCCACAAGATAATCATAAAAAGCAGGTTTTAGAAAAACATTAAGTAACACGTCTTAGAATCACTCAAATATTCGTTTTACATATTTATCTAAAAAACAATGTGCGGATATCTTATTCTTTTATTTTGAGTTATATATTTCCAATTTTACTATACTCTTGCCACCTCTACAACTCCGAGATTTGAATAAAGACAACTGCATCTCTGTGCTAATGTGATATGGCAACTCGAATTGATATACGTACGTACGAAGTTCTATGTTGTTACTGACTGAATTTTACTATCAATGGTGCTAATATAATTTTAAATTCTTTGTTTTTCACCTGATTGATTTTGTTTTAGTGTTTAAAAGCGAAAAAAATGGTGAATTGAACGGTCTTACATTCTTGCTAGATTAAATGCTATTTATAATTATAACTATATAAAACTCTATTATCTATGCAAATAAAACGAATTCTTAAATTGATATATACCAGAAAAAAAATAGAAATTCTTACGTAAATACATCCAGATAAATCCAAATAAATTAATGACTTGAAACTTTCTAATTGATTGAAATAAGTTGAGCAAAGTTGTTTTAATCGTGTACAATAGGCCAAACTCAAATATTGTAACATTTTTGTATTGCTTAATTTAAAAAATTATTTTCATGAGGTCGTATATTTAATGTAAAAAAACAAAACAAAATAACATGAGTATGTTTATTACAGAACAGATATTGAAAGTATATTGAATTTACATGTTTGAATAGAATAATAATAATTTAATCTATTTAGTTTTATATCAAATAGATTGGATGTTTATTTACAAGTATGTATCCGTGCAACAATGTGTTTGTCAACATATCAAAATATATGAAATACATTGTTTAAATATAATCTAGATTATAGCTAACTATATAGTCTGAAATATAAGATAGCATGTCGAAATCTTTATTGAAATTAAAATCGTATGTTGATAATATCAACAAGTTTTATTATTAACTTATATGTTTAACGAAGAACCAAACCTGGGAGCAATGGACAGCCTTTTCGTCCTATTGTGGGACTCAGAAGTGCGAATTCACGATCCCGCATCGCGGGATTCGAACCCAGGACGCAGGATCTCAACTATTGAAATTCCTACAATCTACACAAAACCCCTTCTGATACTAATCAACATATGCTCACTAGTGACTGGCTTCAAGAGGTATATCCTGGAGTTCTAGTGAGAAGCAGTAACTAGTGAAGTTCAACCGGGTCTGTTGTGAGATATTAACTCATTGAATACAATAGTGGATGTGTCGCTTAGTTTCGTGGATTGGTTGAAGTTAAACACTAACACCGTTAGATGCCGTCCAAATCAGTAGTCTAGTGGTTAAGCGCTCGCGAGTGAAACTGATAAGCCCTGAGTTCGAATCTTGTGAGGCAGGACCGTGGATGCGCACTGCTGAAAAGTCTGTTGAGGATAAGGTCCTTAATATCTGACTCCAAATAATAATATTCCGTAACTGAGTATTTAAGGTAGGCTTAATCTCCTAGTAGAATTATGGATTTACTCGAGATTATTAAGAAGCCTGAACACCAGTTATGGAGATAGTTTATTATTAATGAATAATGATAATCCACAAGCGTATTGTGAGCAAGCACACGATGGGAACAGAGAGAGTGTGAGTTTGTTAAAAATCCATATATATTTGAGGGTTAATCGGGTGTAGATAAATTATCGATTATCTGCACGTTGAAACCAATAGGAAAATAGTTTAAAAGTTAATGTACAGACATGCATTCGATCATACACACCGAAATTAACATAGTGAATTAAGAGTCTAAGTTACAATGAATAGACAGATGATACCGTGGCCAAATGGGCTTGCCACATAAGCTCCCATCCAGAACATTGATGTTTTTATGTACCAAAAAAAAATTGGATTAACATCTATGTTCGACAAAGAGATAAAGAACGGAACTGTTTTTAAAATAAAAGTACAACTCAATATGATGAGTAAGCGTAAAACTGTAATAACAGCTTGTGTGTTGAAACGTTTCATATCATGTATATACAAGTGTATATTTAACATTAATGAATTGTATAAAGTTAAAATGTAAGCATAATGATGATCCGTGGGGCCAATAAAAAAAATAGTAATCAAAATAAAATAGGATTTTTATGTGTTATAAGAGTAGTCTCAGGATTTGGTCTAGATAAATATGGTGGTTGCTACATACCTATCTGGCCAATGTACTCTCCTTCCTGATCTTGTTGTAGTTTGTGCTGCTGCTGAATTTCGATTTGAAGTGTTGCTTGTTGCAGGTAGTTTGAATGGTGCTTGCTCTGCTGCAGGTTTAGACGGTTTTACAGTTGTCTGTTTTTTCTCAAAAATATTTCGCCTCATACCGAAAGGTACAAAAGGGCGAGTTTTACCTGTTGAGTTATCACAAGTTAAGGTGTCCTTGTTGTTTATGGGGATGTTTTGGAATAATAATTTCGTTTCCTTAGACTGCAAAAGTTTTTGTAGCTCCGTATCGAGCTTTTGATGCTTTGCCATTTCTTGATAGTCTATATCAGGGATCGAGAAGGTATTGATATTTAATCTCGATAGTGCATCTGCTGCCTCGTTTGCATTGCCTTTAATATAGCGTATATCAGCTGCAAATTGTGAAATGAATTCTAGTTGACGAATTTCGCGCGGACTATATTTATCATGATTGTGCATCAAGGACTTAGTTAGGGGTTTGTGATCAGTATATATCGTGAAAGAATTGCCTTCTAACATGTAGCGAAAGTGTTTGATGGCTAAGTAGATAGCCAACAGTTCTCTACCGAATGTGCTATATTTCGTTTGCGTTGCGTTGAGCTTTTTTGAGAAAAATGCAAGGGGTTGCCATTGTTCATTGACACGTTGCTGAAGTACAGCACCTACTGCTACGTTAGAAGCGTCGGTCATTATTGCTAAAGGTGCATCAATCTTTCGTCGTGCGAGTAATGCCTCTGTGCTTAAAGCGCTTTTCAACTGATCAAATGCTTGAATTGCTTGCGGTGTCATTGCTAATGATTTAGCTCGTCCCCTTAATAAATCAGTTAGTGGTTTTGCTAAGTCTGCACATTTAGGGATAAAACGTCTGTAAAAGTTGATCATCCCAAGGAAACGTCGTAGTTTCTTGAATGAATCAGGCAAAGGATAATTTTTGATAGCTTGTGTTTCCTCAGGAACTGGTTTAATGCCTTGCTTATCAAGTACGTGACCTAAAAAGGTGAGGGATTGTTTTCCGAACTCACATTTGTCAGGATTGACCGCTAACCCATACTCGTTTAGCTTCTCAAAAAGCATTTTCAGATGAGTTAGATGTTCATTTTCATCTTTGCTTGCTATAAGTAGGTCATCTATGTAAGCATACACAAACGGTAAGCCCCGTACCACTTGGTCAATAAAACGCTGGAAACTTTGTGCAGCATTCCTTAATCCGAAAGGCATGCGGACGAATTCGTATAGTCCAAAGGGGGTAGTAATGGCTGTTTTAGGAACATCGTCTGGATGAATTGGAATGTGATGGTAAGCACGGACGAGATCAATTTTTGAAAAGATCGACACGTCAGATAGGCTATGAGTGAAGTCATGTAGATGTGGGAGAGGATATCTATCTGGTATGGTCCGGCTGTTGAGAGCTCTATAGTCACCGCATGGTCTAACTTCGGAAGAGTTTTTCTTAGGTACCATATGAAGCGGTGATGCCCACGGACTATCGGAGGGGCGTATGATGCCCAACTCAATCATTTTGTTGAATTCGTTCTTTGCGATAGCCAGACGAGAGGGATCAAGGCGTCTTGGACGTGCGAACACAGGTGGACCCTCTGTCTTTATGTGGTGTACGACGGTATGCGCCGGTTTGTCGTGTTTGAAACTCGGTCGTAATAAATCTGGAAACTGATTAAGTAAATTGACGTATTTGTCGTTCTCATGATGAGGTTTAACTAATAAATGTATGGAAGTCTCATTTGATATAATTCCTCTAATTTCCTTACTCTGTTCGGCAAGGACAAGTTTCCTATTTCTGACATCTACCAGTATTTTGTGGAATTGCAGAAAATCAATGCCGATTATAGGAACGAGGACGTCCGCTATGATGAAACTCCAGGAAAAATTAGATTTAGGACCGAAATTTAATTGCAACCGCCTTTTTCCGTACGTCTTGATGTCAGACCTGTTTGCAGCTTGTAGTTTTAGTTTGGGGTCAGGTGTGTTTTTCTCGAGTGCAGTAGGTGGTACTACACTAACCTCTGCCCCAGTGTCGACTAAAAACTGTGTGCCGGTTCTTTTGTCTGTAACATATAATAGACGACTGTCTTGAAAGTTGTGGTCAGTGAGTGCAGTCGTCATTAACCTACGGTCTTGACGTTCCTTTTTCTGTGTGCTTGCAAAGTTACAAGGCGGAGTACATTTTCTAGCTTGTTTGCCATATGTTCTATGGTACCAGCAAATGTTGTGTCTAGTAGTGCTTGGACTACGTCGTCTACGGCTTGTGGATGTTCCTCTACGCTTGCTGTGGGAGGCATTCAATAATTGGATCTGAGCTATCTGTTTCGTAAGGGTATCAACTGATCGTCGTAACTCGGCGATCTCGTCAGCTGAGCTTGATTGGATTTGAGATACAAGGTGAGTCTTGGACCGTTCGTAAATTCTGTCGGCTATGTCTGCTAGTCTATCAAAATCAACGTCTTCGTCTCCAATTGCTAGTATCTGTTGAATGTTTTGAGGGAGACGTCTGAGCCACAATTGATATAGTAGACGTTTGTCTACTGTACGATTTCCTAATAAGTTTGTCATGTGGCGTTTTAACTGTGACGGTGTATTGTCACCTAGCTCTACGTTGGCTAAAAGTTGATCAATTGTCTGTTGGTCGGTGAGAGATGTGACACGAATGACCTCTCTTTTTAGACAATCGAATGGTGAGTCAGGATCCGGCTTAAAAATGACATCCGGCACTTGTTCAATGACGTCATCTGGCAGCAGTGAATTCGCATAACTAAATTTCGTACTCTGGTTTGTGATTTTGTTTGCAACAAAAAAGCTTTCCAAACGAGCAAACCAGAGTTCAGCCTTTCGTGGATTAAAAATGGGTAAAGGTACAGAGATGGCACCCACGGAAATAGATTTAGATGAAAGGCTTAACGAATTATCAAGTGCCATGATACGAAAAAGCAATAGTAATAATAAGCTGAGGATTGTAATATACAATATGAAGAGAAATCAAAAATAACAACAAAAAAAATATATATAAGACTCACCGAAAAGAAAAATTGTCACTTTGGGTATATGTATGAGAATATACAGTAATAATTCCAAAGGGAAAATATTATGAGTGAATTTATTATGACTGTCAATGGATTGTTATTAATTATAATAATAATTCCAATATGAAGTTCTTTATGATACTCTTGAGGAGAATGCAGCAGACTTTGGAGGAAAATGGTGCGCGTTCTAAAGGCGGGTCACCAATATGTTATGGATAATGTCCTTAATATCTGACTCCAAATAATAATATTCCGTAACTGAGTATTTAAGGTAGGCTTAATCTCCTAGTAGAATTACGGATTTACTCGAGATTATTAAGAAGCCTGAACACCAGTTATGGAGATAGTTTATTATTAATGAATAATGATAATCCACAAGCGTATTGTGAGCAAGCACACGATGGGAACAGAGAGAGTGTGAGTTTGTTAAAAATCCATATATATTTGAGGGTTAATCGGGTGTAGATAAATTATCGATTATCTGCACGTTGAAACCAATAGGAAAATAGTTTAAAAGTTAATGTACAGACATGCATTCGATCATACACACCGAAATTAACATAGTGAATTAAGAGTCTAAGTTACAATGAATAGACAGATGATACCGTGGCCAAATGGGCTTGCCACATAAGCTCCCATCCAGAACATTGATGTTTTTATGTACCAAAAAAAAATTGGATTAACATCTATGTTCGACAAAGAGATAAAGAACGGAACTGTTTTTAAAATAAAAGTACAACTCAATATGATGAGTAAGCGTAAAACTGTAATAACAGCTTGTGTGTTGAAACGTTTCATATCATGTATATACAAGTGTATATTTAACATTAATGAATTGTATAAAGTTAAAATGTAAGCATAATGATGATCCGTGGGGCCAATAAAAAAAATAGTAATCAAAATAAAATAGGATTTTTATGTGTTATAAGAGTAGTCTCAGGATTTGGTCTAGATAAATATGGTGGTTGCTACATACCTATCTGGCCAATGTACTCTCCTTCCTGATCTTGTTGTAGTTTGTGCTGCTGCTGAATTTCGATTTGAAGTGTTGCTTGTTGCAGGTAGTTTGAATGGTGCTTGCTCTGCTGCAGGTTTAGACGGTTTTACAGTTGTCTGTTTTTTCTCAAAAATATTTCGTCTCATACCGAAAGGTACAAAAGGGCGAGTTTTACCTGTTGAGTTATCACAAGTTAAGGTGTCCTTGTTGTTTATGGGGATGTTTTGGAATAATAATTTCGTTTCCTTAGACTGCAAAAGTTTTTGTAGCTCCGTATCGAGCTTTTGATGCTTTGCCATTTCTTGATAGTCTATATCAGGGATCGAGAAGGTATTGATATTTAATCTCGATAGTGCATCTGCTGCCTCGTTTGCATTGCCTTTAATATAGCGTATATCAGCTGCAAATTGTGAAATGAATTCTAGTTGACGAATTTCGCGCGGACTATATTTATCATGATTGTGCATCAAGGACTTAGTTAGGGGTTTGTGATCAGTATATATCGTGAAAGAATTGCCTTCTAACATGTAGCGAAAGTGTTTGATGGCTAAGTAGATAGCCAACAGTTCTCTACTGAATGTGCTATATTTCGTTTGCGTTGCGTTCAGCTTTTTTGAGAAAAATGCAAGGGGTTGCCATTGTTCATTGACACGTTGCTGAAGTACAGCACCTACTGCTACGTTAGAAGCGTCGGTCATTATTGCTAAAGGTGCATCAATCTTTCGTCGTGCGAGTAATGCCTCTGTGCTTAAAGCGCTTTTCAACTGATCAAATGCTTGAATTGCTTGCGGTGTCATTGCTAATGATTTAGCTCGTCCCCTTAATAAATCAGTTAGTGGTTTTGCTAAGTCTGCACATTTAGGGATAAAACGTCTGTAAAAGTTTATCATCCCAAGGAAACGTCGTAGTTTCTTGAATGAATCAGGCAAAGGATAATTTTTGATAGCTTGTGTTTCCTCAGGAACTGGTTTAATGCCTTGCTTATCAAGTACGTGACCTAAAAAGGTGAGGGATTGTTTTCCGAACTCACATTTGTCAGGATTGACCGCTAACCCATACTCGTTTAGCTTCTCAAAAAGCATTTTCAGATGAGTTAGATGTTCATTTTCATCTTTGCTTGCTATAAGTAGGTCATCTATGTAAGCATACACAAACGGTAAGCCCCGTACCACTTGGTCAATAAAACGCTGGAAACTTTGTGCAGCATTCCTTAATCCGAAAGGCATGCGGACGAATTCGTATAGTCCAAAGGGGGTAGTAATGGCTGTTTTAGGAACATCGTCTGGATGAATTGGAATGTGATGGTAAGCACGGACGAGATCAATTTTTGAAAAGATCGACACGTCAGATAGGCTATGAGTGAAGTCATGTAGATGTGGGAGAGGATATCTATCTGGTATGGTCCGGCTGTTGAGAGCTCTATAGTCACCGCATGGTCTAACTTCGGAAGAGTTTTTCTTAGGTACCATATGAAGCGGTGATGCCCACGGACTATCGGAGGGGCGTATGATGCCCAACTCAATCATTTTGTTGAATTCGTTCTTTGCGATAGCCAGACGAGAGGGATCAAGGCGTCTTGGACGTGCGAACACAGGTGGACCCTCTGTCTTTATGTGGTGTACGACGGTATGCGCCGGTTTGTCGTGTTTGAAACTCGGTCGTAATAAATCTGGAAACTGATTAAGTAAATTGACGTATTTGTCGTTCTCATGATGAGGTTTAACTAATAAATGTATGGAAGTCTCATTTGATATAATTCCTCTAATTTCCTTACTCTGTTCGGCAAGGACAAGTTTCCTATTTCTGACATCTACCAGTATTTTGTGGAATTGCAGAAAATCAATGCCGATTATAGGAACGAGGACGTCCGCTATGATGGAACTCCAGGAAAAAATAGATTTAGGACCGAAATTTAATTGCAACCGCCTTTTTCCGTACGTCTTGATGTCAGACCTGTTTGCAGCTTGTAGTTTTAGTTTGGGGTCAGGTGTGTTTTTCTCGAGTGCAGTAGGTGGTACTACACTAACCTCTGCCCCAGTGTCGACTAAAAACTGTGTGCCGGTTCTTTTGTCTGTAACATATAATAGACGACTGTCTTGAAAGTTGTGGTCAGTGAGTGCAGTCGTCATTAACCTACGGTCTTGACGTTCCTTTTTCTGTGTGCTTGCAAAGTTACAAGGCGGAGTACATTTTCTAGCTTGTTTGCCATATGTTCTATGGTACCAGCAAATGTTGTGTCTAGTAGTGCTTGGACTACGTCGTCTACGGCTTGTGGATGTTCCTCTACGCTTGCTGTGGGAGGCATTCAATAATTGGATCTGAGCTATCTGTTTCGTAAGGGTATCAACTGATCGTCGTAACTCGGCGATCTCGTCAGCTGAGCTTGATTGGATTTGAGATACAAGGTGAGTCTTGGACCGTTCGTAAATTCTGTCGGCTATGTCTGCTAGTCTATCAAAATCAACGTCTTCGTCTCCAATTGCTAGTATCTGTTGAATGTTTTGAGGGAGACGTCTGAGCCACAATTGATATAGTAGACGTTTGTCTACTGTACGATTTCCTAATAAGTTTGTCATGTGGCGTTTTAACTGTGACGGTGTATTGTCACCTAGCTCTACGTTGGCTAAAAGTTGATCAATTGTCTGTTGGTCGGTGAGAGATGTGACACGAATGACCTCTCTTTTTAGACAATCGAATGGTGAGTCAGGATCCGGCTTAAAAATGACATCCGGCACTTGTTCAATGACGTCATCTGGCAGCAGTGAATTCGCATAACTAAATTTCGTACTCTGGTTTGTGATTTTGTTTGCAACAAAAAAGCTTTCCAAACGAGCAAACCAGAGTTCAACCTTTCGTGGATTAAAAATGGGTAAAGGTACAGAGATGGCACCCACGGAAATAGATTTAGATGAAAGGCTTAACGAATTATCAAGTGCCATGATACGAAAAAGCAATAGTAATAATAAGCTGAGGATTGTAATATACAATATGAAGAGAAATCAAAAATAACAACAAAAAAAATATATATAAGACTCACCGAAAAGAAAAATTGTCACTTTGGGTATATGTATGAGAATATACAGTAATAATTCCAAAGGGAAAATATTATGAGTGAATTTATTATGACTGTCAATGGATTGTTATTAATTATAATAATAATTCCAATATGAAGTTCTTTATGATACTCTTGAGGAGAATGCAGCAGACTTTGGAGGAAAATGGTGCGCGTTCTAAAGGCGGGTCACCAATATGTTATGGATAATGTCCTTAATATCTGACTCCAAATAATAATATTCCGTAACTGAGTATTTAAGGTAGGCTTAATCTCCTAGTAGAATTATGGATTTACTCGAGATTATTAAGAAGCCTGAACACCAGTTATGGAGATAGTTTATTATTAATGAATAATGATAATCCACAAGCGTATTGTGAGCAAGCACACGATGGGAACAGAGAGAGTGTGAGTTTGTTAAAAATCCATATATATTTGAGGGTTAATCGGGTGTAGATAAATTATCGATTATCTGCACGTTGAAACCAATAGGAAAATAGTTTAAAAGTTAATGTACAGACATGCATTCGATCATACACACCGAAATTAACATAGTGAATTAAGAGTCTAAGTTACAATGAATAGACAGATGATACCGTGGCCAAATGGGCTTGCCACAAGTCCCACAACAGGACAAAACGGCCATCCAGTGCTTCCAGCTTTTTCTTGATGGTGTAGCTTCGATTGGCTTATGACCTCAACTATTGAGATTGTGACAATCTCCACAAAGCCCCTTCTGATACGAACTTTTAAATTTAACCATGGATATTTGAAATTTTTATGCTTTTTGGTGCTTGCTGTTGTAACCGAATAAAATGTCGAGGTTCAAACTTTAGTTTTCATTCAAATTTATCTTGATTTGATGAGGAATATATGTCTAAATATGTACAAATATTAAAACACATTGTTATCTTTATTAGGTTCGAAACACAATTGTAAGTTTAAAGTAAAATTATATACTCACATCGCTATGTGACGAACTGAATCATCAGTAATTTGAGTATATGATAAATTCAAGTAAAGAAGTAAACTACATTCAACAGTTATTATACGAACTGCATCATCCTAAAGAGGATAAAAAGAAAATAAAAATACTGTATTCAAGATATCGAAAACATACATCGTTTTAGTATTTTAAGAAAATGAATGATATTCTTAATAATTCGTCATTTCACTTAGAATTACGTAAACAACTTATGTTCACGATCTATAAACAGTGAAATGATTATGTTGTATATCAGAAAAGGAGGGAAAAGCTGATCAAACTGTTCAACTGTAAGGACAATTTAATTTGCACGTTAAGACATGTGGTTAAACATATTATGGTGAGATTCGTAAAGAATAGAAAAATTTTTTTTATCTTCTTTAATTCGATGATTACTGACTTGTAGACTAACAATTCGTAAATAAACACTTAAGTTTAAAGTCAAAAGAATGTATTTGGGACTTTGAAAATACCATATCTTCCTAATGAGGTATTCCATATTTGTCGAATAATGGAATTCCACAAAAAAAGATAAAAAGTTAGATTATTAATTTGTTGGTACATTGATGTACATATTATTTCATCGGTTGACAAAATAAAAATTGGCTGCAATTAACAATATTTAAAATTGTCACACTTAACTTTTAAATAAAAAAAACAGAGCTAAAAAGATCCACATTAATATAGTAGTACCATTGATAATGAAAAAATAAAGAGAAGTAAGTTAGAAAATTGAGGTAGGTTTAATAATATTGAAATGAACATTTTAGAAAAAGATACAAAGTGAATGGATCGAGTTAAACTATGTTATCTGAGTTATTTCTCCAATTTTTCAGTCACGACTATCATGTGAACGATTAGCAGTATTTACACTTCTCAAGGCATTAAAATAACCAATTTTTTGTATGAACACTATTTAGCATGCTTTAAAACTACTTGTAGGTTGGTCAGCTTTCGATATTACGTTTTTATTATTTAAAATTTTATCATATACAGAGTTGAATATAAACTGTATTTTCTAACTGTGATTAAATTAGTACAGAACCATAAAATATACCTATGAAGAGTTTTACAGAATAACAGAACTATGTTTCAAAAAAAAACATTTCAAGCATTAGTTCTATAAAAATACATGTTTTCAGCTTCACATACTGTTATGTCCCGACAAGAATAATGAATGGTAACTTTTGGGATCTATTGATGCACCAATACTAAACGTATATTTCTATTGTATAATTATTAAGTAACTAAACTATACATATTCATATTTCTCTTATTATAAGCTTTATTTTGACCCATAAACTATTATTATACGTTTTACCATTCTTGAGTTATACCCAGTATATTAATTACTACCTCCCTCATTCACAGCTACATCTGGCTAATTCTTGTACAGATGTTGTTTCATATTTTATTGGTACGTTGTGGTCTGTTTGATTGATATATAAACTCAGTATATTTGAAATATAATGATTCATATCGCAGAGGCTGAGACTTGTGTTCTGGACTTAACTGGCTGGGCTAGGCGCTAAGCAGGGCGAATCAGACTCTGGGCTGCTCATACGGGTTTACGCGTCATTGGTCCTGTTGATAATTTACTGCCCTCTAATCGGCGGTCATAAGATATAACGGATACAAAAATCAATATACTGATGTAAAAAGAATGTTAAAAGCTTATTCAAATCTCAAAGTTATATTACCGTTATCATAAGGTCATCAAATACTTTATACCTTTGTTTAAAGCGATCAAGGGAACCCATTATTATTGATAAATTTAAACCAGTAATGAATAGCTTACTTATGCTTACTGTGATACGAGTGCATTTGGATAAATTGATATCCTGTAAATTAGCGCAACTAGTTAAACAACGAAATGAATTTAAAGTACACAGACTACTATTACGTAAGTTGATATGACGCAGATACATTCGACGTCTTCTTGTAAGCCTAAATAAAAGTTCTTCTGTTAACCTATCAAAAAGGAGAAAGGAGAATATGTCAGTATATTACAGTAACTTAATTTCAGGCATTTACAAATATGGCTGGGACTTGATAAGTTAATTAAGTTTATGAGATCTACTTATGGTCGGTATATTATATATATATATATATATATATATATATATATATATATATATATAATATTAAAATCATGATGTTGGAGTAACATTATGGTAACTGTCAGTTTTAAAACATTTTGTACATCAATTTAATTAACAAGTCATTTGTCGCTATGTATATAGTGGAACCAACCTTTGTGCTAGTTAGTCTCAATTATTGGTCCCTTTGATATATATATATATATATATTGTCAATTACATTTATTATACCCAAACAAAATATCTTGTTCATATTGACTAAATGTGTGAATCGTATTTATGAATTTGTAAATGAAGTCACAAGATTAAATGATGTAAAAGTGTTTGAAAATATTATAAACCACACCCAAACGTAAATATAATGAGTTCATGTTCGCGTAGGCTTGTATGTGCACACTATTGAAGAAGTCACAATTCCAGAAAGAACAGTTTTCCTATTCTCTATGATTCTCAACGATTTTGTCACCAATAAATGTTTATTGTGAAGATAACCTAACTTTTTAAACGGTGAATATAGTTCAATAATATCTAATAACATAGAGCCATAAAACTAATGATTAACTAAATTTTTATTGACACGATCACTATAGTGTGATTTAAAATACATACGTCATGGTTGACATAATAAGTTTACCTTTTACCAAAGCACGATAAATCCAAAGTATTTTTCTTATCCATTTCACTAACTACAGACCACCAATAATGAGATACACAAGCAGCTCGAGCTAAATCTATGGGTGTTAAGTAACCAAATATCTAATCAAAGAAAAGCAAAGGAGAAATGAAATTTAATGAGTAAACTTTATTTTCGACTTTTGAATTTTTAAATCAAATATTATGAAGACAAAACTAGACTAAACTTCCTTATCGACATTTTGTGTAATTTACTTGATTCACAAGTCAACAGATCTTAAAGCTTCAATTACACACAGAAAGAGAAACTTAATTTTCAAAAGAATGAAACAGAAATACACTTTTCAAATATTTCATACATTTAATGATAAGATTTTTTAACGAGTCTACAGTCGAGTAATTTTCAGAGGTAAAGTCAGAATCCAAGTTCAAAATTGAATCTTGAGGGTATTCTAAAACGTACACCTATGTAAGCTCAAAATTAGAACAAAATATTATATCAGTAAATAATGCGATTTCCTCAATACTTCAGAGTATTGAGATGGTGGAGAAGATTTGTAGCTCAGGTGGATGATTTTGGTGGTGTTTTGTTCCATCCAGCTCAGAGAACAAAACACCACCAAAAACTTCAGAGTATTTTTGAACTCGCTCAGTGATCTGATAATTTTGATAATACAAAATCTTATCACTTTCTCATGATTAAGAGCGAAAAGATTACGGTAGTTTAATGGAACGGGATACAAATAAATTTTATAGATTTTTAAAATGCTGAAAATATTACGTTTACATTATTTATTAGCGTTTAACATTCAAAACCATATTTATAAGAGGTTGAACAATATCGATTACAAGGATCAAGTTTTAGATTTTAAATAGATGAAATTGTCCCCATAAGGCTTAAGGTACTCAAGTCTCTAGTTTAGTGTACATTACCATGTTGATTACATTTAGCGAAGTAGTAGTAAGAATTAATTATATATATATATATATTTTGTTTTTCAAATGAGAAAATGTTTACAACCAACAGTCCAATATTTTATGTATTTTAATTTTTTTAGAAAACGATTACTAACACACTTCTTCAATAAACATTGTAGTATGCAATTTATTATTAAAAATAAAAATAAATTGATAGGGATTTCAATGAAGTAAACCAGAATTATATCATGCGATTTGCGTCCATTGGTTGTATATGTATTACATCTAATCGTAGAAGTATTATTTACTTTTTTATAAATATATATGACTTCAAATAATAGACACATCTATGAACACTTCTATATCTGTTACCTCCTACTGAAAAATACTTTGTCATTTAAGTACGAACTATATTTGAAGAATAACTACAAGCTTCGAAAAAAGGTTACTAGGAAAATTGAGTGAATAAGAACGAGACAGTAATTTTCATCGAATCATTTTAATTTACTATAAGTCTAATTTTATACCATTCAAGTTGAGTTAATATAGTGCACTCAATGTAAATTGGAACAATAATCCAGGTTGAAGAGTTGTGGTTAGATATGTAGATAAATACACTGACAATGTAACTAATTTGATTTAAGCCGAAATGCATCCATATTTTATTATTCCACATTATTTAAATCTATTATACAGGAACGGCTAAACATACTTTATATTGTATGGTGTCAGGTAATTCAGATAATCGGTCACGATAATTCTCAACATCGCTTATTTTACCACCTAAAGTAAGTAGTTGATTTTCAGACTCTGAATCATCTGACTTTTCACCATCTGACTTTTCTTGCATTTTCTGCAGATAGAAAAGAAAAAGGTTGTAAAGTCATTAAAAATGAACAAATAGGAAAACATTAACATATTTGGACATTAAGAGGTCATAGTTATTTCATTTTTCAGAAATATTTTAATGCCATTTTAGATTAGGCTGTATCTAATTTGTTAGTTTGTCAATTTAGATGTTTGGTGTGATACGGAATGTCTTATATCTAAGTTATTCATTTGTCGGCGAAAATACTCGGCTTTGCAGTAGAATAAAACAAAATATTTTGAAAGAAATATTAACATTCACTGTGTAACAGTGTCTTCGTTTATGCTGATAACTCAGTGTATTTTGTGATAATGTGATACAGACATTATATATTTCAAACTTCTACAGAATCCTAAGAATATTTTCTATTGATTGCTAGGCATGTTGACTTAGAATTAATTAGTGAATAATGGAAAATATAGCCTGAGCAGTACAAATGATTCTTCTTCAAACAATCAATTAACAAAAACATTTACAAATAACTTGATAATCTTGTGGATACCACAATATCCGTTCATAATTCTTTTTAGTACTAAGATTTATCCGCAATTTGTTTGGCCATTTTCCCCGAAATGTGTGGGTGTCTGGATTTATTTAATTTAAAATACATTATGGTTAGAGATAGAGAACAGTGTAACATTGAAACATTTTACCCTACTGTAATGTCAGTTTTAATTAGACGGCAATATATTCTTATTGAAGACACTAAATACGGTTATAACAATATCTGCCATTACTAAATTCCTGGATCAAACCTATTGTAATATCTATTACTTCATCATAGATCTGTGGTACTGTTATACATATGTAAAACCAATATTGTCAACTAGTCTTACAAATCAAGGTCATTTGCTTGTACCAATAAAGATAATCAAATTTGTATTTACAAACGTTAAATACATACATTAACTTACTGAAAAATAATCCCTTGTTTTCCGAGCTTCTGCAACATTCCTCCGCCAGGCTTTAAAATATAACATTGTCACTGTGAAGTCTTTAATTTGTGTTATTAATGATTGTGCCACTTAACAATGTAGAAAAAAATTATGATATTTTACTGTAATTATGAAATATCATGCATTGTTTTGTTAATTCAAATGGTATTTTGCCAGATAAATGAGAGCAGTAAAGTTTCGCAAAAATTCGAAGTTAATTTATCACTAGAATCTTATTATTAATCTTTTTAATTTTTTAGTTAATTATCTTAATTTAATCAATATCTTTCCCTAACATCACTAAGCTCTGTTTAAATATTATTATTATTACTTCACTTCACAAGGCGGCCTGCTTGAGCATCTGGGCTACCTGTTCCTGCCATCTAGATATTTCGACAAGTTATCTATCTTTGTTTGTTTTAATATATCATTATGTCTATTAATCGCACAACCTATTCTGCTGCGTTTCTGAAAAGTGTACAACCTTTCGTTGTCAAAGTTACAAAAAGCTCAAAAAGAGAGAATATTGTTGCTGGCAATATACAACGAAAAGAATGTACATTATTCAGATGTTCATTTACTGGACTGTTAACATCTAGCTGGCGATCACTCAGTATTTATCGCGAGGACCGACCAAGAAGAAAGAAACGGAAACTTGTTGAAATACTTTGTGCTGAGAATTCTATATTGTACCAATAATATAATATTGAATAAAGCTAATAATAATAATAATTATTATTATTGTTATTATTAATCCTTATCAGTTTCTGTAGTCCAAATCAATGATCAAAAGAGAGAGTCAAGCTCCAGCCAAATACCATCTTGTAATTTAAAATATGAATTTACCTTTCTTATCAAAAATAAAATAAATCTCATTTATAAATATAGAAGTAAGTAGTATGCTATATACTTGTTAATAAGGTTGAAGGTTAAATGAAATTATTAGATCCATAATCAGAATAAATATGACCATTGTTGATTGACAGAAATAATAATGTACTCAGTAATAATAATAAATTTCCAATCAGACATTGTGTAGTATATGAGAAGATATGAATTCAAACCGATAACATTAGGAATACAATCAGTAATAAATAAACAGTTAAAATGGAAAAATGAAATAATCTTGATTTTGGAAAATAATGAATTAAGATAGAAATGATGAAATAATACATAATTTAATTACTTACTTTTTTGTTTACTTTTCACAAACTGTGTATATTCTTGCCATCCTCGAAATATAATCTTTTGCAATCTAAATTTCATACTTATTTTTGCAATAAAGTTTATTTTGTACATATAATTCACTCGTGCTTTTTTGATTATAAAATGTAATTTCCAGGCGCTTAAAAACAAATCGAAGAATTGTAAAATAGAACAAAAAATCTTGAATTTATTATGTGTGAATCTGGAATAATAAAGGTTGAAATGAACATAAGATAAAGCAATTGTTTTAGTGCCCCTTGGCTTTCAATGTATCGCTGAATCATAGTATCTCTTATTACACCACTAAATAATCAGTTTTTGTCTGCTCATGAAAATCGCCATTTTAACCTTGTCAAGTACTTTATGACGTTTTTATGTGCTCTGTCATCCTTGATCATGCCAAAAGTACTCATGTACGTTTTACTAAGTACTCGTCTTATATGTGTCTGTCAACTAAACTCATTGGTTTTTTATAATTTACGTATTATTTACTTCATATAAAGATTGTTTCATCTAGTGATCATTGACGTGATTATTTCTGTCCCTCTAATTCCCACTTACTTTTCTTGATCTGTTTGCTGAGTGGGATGTATGGAAGATATGCTTCACAAACACTATTGTTTCGACTTTTGATATCCAGTTGTTCAAAACCTGTTAAGCTGATAGAGTACATATGAACAGAATTTATGTTTCATTCGTATCACCATCATTCGATCAAACTAAAGACAGACTCGGGTTCAGCAAACCAAACTCAGTCTATGATGTAAATCATAAGGTGAATGAACGCCACAGATCTCATAAATGATGATCCAATGTATGATTTTCTTTTGTAATAAATTTTGGTTGTTCATGTTTAGAAGTATGCTCAAAGTATAAGATTATTTCAATTACTAAATAATGAATAAACATTAAATCCATCACTTATTTACTTATATATGGTTAGATTGACTGCATGAAAATTCTGGAACTGGTTAAATTAATATACGATTATGTCAGTATTTTATTGATTATTACAGTCAGAGAATCGAAAATCATTTTTAGAAATAAAAAAATCACAAGGTTCCAAAGTATTAATAGCATAAATTTTCATTTGTTACATAAAATATATGACGTAAGGTGACAAGCTGTATCCAAAATGTTCTGGAGATAGAAGTCAACCCACAGAAAGTTTTACATGAGATTCCCAAACCGTATTTTTTGAAAATGAAAATTTCTATGTGCACTGAAATACTACGGTTAGCTTATAGATGTATTTGATGCATTTTGTTGGATAGATTATCATTGCATCATGTATAGAGAAATTCATATTCGAAAATAATAGAGTATAATTTCAACCATTTTATCAGGAAATCATACATTATTAAAAATAGGTCATAAACAATGTTGGATACTCTCTGAATTTTGTGGTACATAGGGCTCATATGTTAAGTTTACTGATCGAATGACACTGATGTGAAAAATTCGGATTTTATCAGTAGGGTAGGACTAACAGATAATCCTTTACTAACTAAATCATAAGTTTTCTTTTTACGAATATATGTATGTGTGTAGTCCATTGGAAAGTGATTGGATTTTCATATCATCTTTTGAAAAGAATTTTAGTGGTTTTACATAGTAATAGCATGAATATCGTGTAACATGAATAAACTTTGAAAAGGGGAGTTTTTTGAGATAATTTTTTGTTATAGACTAGGAACAATCATTAAAATCTATGAAGAACTAGATTTCGTCTGTTTTAGGTCAGAATGTTTAGACCATAGATAAAAAAGATGTAGAGCCCTCAGTTCTTGTGGTGAGCAAAGTCATTTTAAACAAATGAGTTGAAACTTAATGGTTTACTTTTCTTAATTTAATCAATTTACAGACTGCGTAATAATCGTTGGGTGTTATTAATGCTATACGTTTAACTTCCAATATTATTGTACCGCATCAGTCATAGCTTCTAATAAAAATCTTAAAATATTATCTTCATCCATCTACGGCGGTATTCAATAGCCCCCTAACTACAATTATTGTAATTAGATTACAGAAAGATACTAAGAATAATGTAAATCGATTACGGAGAGTCGTAGATATGTAAACTGTTATATAACTCACTAAAAAAACTTGTTGAATGATAATCATCAAGTTGTACATGCATATTCTTCTTACATCACTGAAAACATTTATTTTGGACAAAAAATCTCTTACAGTAAGTTAACAGTTATATATATAGTGTGTTATTCTAACGTATTAACATCATAAATTGTGACAAAAAAATCAACTAAGTGGTTTCATGTATATCATTCTGAGGGACGTTTTATGGAACTGAGAAAATATGTAATTACTCTGTAAGTTCTATTTAAGAAGATTTGAGACAAGTACTGAAAGACCGGAAAGGACATATCATCAAGATACCGATGAAAAGAGAGCTCGGTACGTGTGTAAACTACGGGGGAATCACACTACTATCAATACCATGAAAAACGTTTCAACGAAGTACTGTTAAATGAATGAAAAATCGATTAAACTCTCAGCTTCGAGATCAACTTCCCGGATTCCGTAAGGATCGGTCGTGCACAGACCAAACCGCGACACTACGGATCACCGTTGAGTAACTAATTGAATGGAACTGGTCACTATACATCAACTTCCTTGACTATGATAAATTGTTTGATAACGTGAATAGGAAAACTTTATGGAAACCTCTTCAACAGTATGGTGTGTGACTGAGAAAATCGTCTACATCACGGGGAATTCATATGATGGACTACACTGAAAAGCTGTGCATGGTGGACAGCTCACAGATGCATTCCAAGTGGAGATCGGTGTCAGATAAGACTGCTTACTTTCTCTCTTTTTATTTCTTCTGATGGTCAACGGGATTACGAAGATCTCCACATCTGAGGGACAGCACGAAATACAATGGATAACTTGGATGCAGCTAAACGATTCGAACTATACAGACGACCTAGCTATTCCATCCCATACACAACAACAAATGCAGATGAAGAAAGTCAGTGTTGCGGTAGTCTCTGCACTAGTAGGCCTGAATATACACAAAGGAAAAAGCAAAATTCTCAAATACCTCACGGAGAACACCAACCTGATCACACTTGATGGATAAGTTCCAGAATGGGTGAAAAGTTTCACGTATCTGAGCATCATCATCGACGTACAAGGAGGAACTGGTGCATATGTGATGGCATAGATTTGCAAAGCGAGGGCGACATTTCTACAGTTAAAGAGAATATGGAACCGAAAACAGCTGTTAACAAATATCAAAGTCAGGATCTCCAATGAGAACGTCACGATAGTTCTACTGTACGGATTTGGAATTTGGACAACTACTGCAATCATCATCAAAATGTACGGGTATTTATTAACAATTATGGACACAAGATACTCAATATCCGTTGACCAGATACCATCGACTACGGCTTAGTGTGAGAGAAAATAAATCAGCATCCAATTGAAGAGGAAATTAGGGAAAGACGCTGGAAATGGATAGGATATATATTGTGGAAATCATCAAACTGCATCACGAGGCACGCGCCAACTTAGAATCCTGAAATAAAACAGAAAAGAGGAATGCCAAAGAACACACTGTATCGGGAAATGGAAACATACATGAAAAGAATGAGTAGCAAATGGAAAGGATCGCCCATAAGAGAGTTCGATAGGAAATCATGTTTGGCCGCCCACGCTTTCCCACGAGAGGTAACAGGCATGAGTAAATATGTAATTATCTGTGTAACTATCATATAGTTTAAAGTAAAACCTAAAAGGCAGTTGAATGATGATCAAGAATTCTGAGTGATAGAATCTGTCAGAATAATAAACCGATAAAAAAAAAATTTAGATAATTTTGTAAAACGTTGATAGAAGTATCAGTTTGTTGTATTTAAGATTATGGTAACTAAAAAGATTTAAAACGTTCGTCTGGATACATAAATATGGTATTAAATAATAACTAATCAAGCCCTGTTGACAAATTTTCTTGGATTTTATTACAACTTATATTGATTAAAACTATGTAGTTACTTTTCATTACAATTCACTATGTTAATATTCTAATTTGGTCAATCATTCAAATACTTTACAATTTGATAAATGTATTCAAATAAATTATAATGATCATTAAGTATGGCAAAAATCATATTTTTTGTAAACATTATATTGTTAATATATGTGAAGATAATAATAATCTTAGAGATTGAAATGTAAATAATTCCAACGTTTCGTCTAGCTAACTTGTCTGGACTTCTTCAGGGTAATGATCGAAATAAAATATGATTTTCATCTATATTGACTTCTTTATACTCGGCGCCCAATTTCTGTCAAACTATTCGTTTTCTCTTTCTCCTGGTGATCGACTGGATCATGAAGACGTCAACGTCTGAAGGAGAGCGCGGGATACAATGGACATCTAAGATGCAGTTGGATGATCTAGACTTCGCAGACGATCTGGCCCTTCTATCCCAAACGCAACAACAAATGCAGGAGAAGACAAACAGTGTGGCAGCAGCCTCAGCAGCAATAGGTCTCAATATACACAAAGGGAAAATCAGGATTCTCCGATACAACACAGAATGCACCAATCCAATCACAATTGACGGAGAAGATTTGGAAGATGTAAAAACCTTTACTATTTGGGCAGCATCATTGATGAACAGGGTGGATCTGATGCAGATGTGAAGGCGCGGATCTGCAAAGCAAGAGCAGCATATGTACAACTGAGGAACATCTGGAACTCAAAGCAACTGTCAACCAACACCAAGGTCAGGATTTTCAATACAAATGTCAAAACAGTTCTACTGTATGGGGCAGAAACCTGGAGGACTACAAAAGCCATCATCCAGAAAATACAGGTGTTTATTAACAATTGTCTACGCAAAATACTTCAGATCCATTGGCCGAACACTATTAGCAACAACGTACTGTGGGAGAGAACAAACCAGATCCCAGTGGAGGAAGAAATCAGGAAGAAGCGCTGGAAGTGGATAGGACACACATTGAGGAAAGCACCCAACTGCGTCACAAGACAAGCCCTCACATGGAATCCTGAAGGCCAAAGGAAAAGAGGAAGACCAAAGAACACATTACGCCGAGAAATGGAGATAGACATGAGAAAAATGAACAAGAATTGGATGGAACTAGAAAAGAAGGCCCAGGACAGAGTGGGTTGGAGAATGCTGGTCAGCGGCCTATGCTCCATTGGGGGTAACAGGCGTAAGTAAGTAAGTAAGTATTCGTTTTAATCTTGACGAATATTCGTATAAATTATATTGTTATATTTATTGTGAATGATCAAGATAAGGTTTTTGAAGTAAATTTGTTAACTTACTATCAGTCTATTGTCCAGCACCTAAAAATATGCATGTTATTTATTCTCTGTTTTCACGAGACATCTAAATTACTGGTTTATTTAACTTGAATAAAGTGATTTAAATCATACGGATCATATAATAGAAGAATATGATGAAAAAGTATTATAAATTGGGTTATTTCTTTTCAGAGATTTAAAGTATTGAATAATCGCTTCCATTACACAAACTTTTTAACTGTATGATTCACATCATGTTGAAAAGAAATACTTATGAAAATGATGACATGATTTAAGCATAAAAACTAACCTGAAACACTTTTTTAATATTGATTGTTTATGAGCAGCATAGGCTTTTGCTAACATTTCAGGTGTAGGCTTATGTTAAATAGAAAAATTCAAAGTATATTATGCATAGTTATATGTATGTATACCACATTATTTTTAGACAAATCATAAAGTATACTAAAGTATACCAATCACCATGAAAAATTTATAAGTGTAAATTAGCAGTGAGTTTTCAAAAAATAAAATTAATGTTTAATATATTTTCGAGAACAAAGACGGTGTTTGTATTTATGTGATCACAGTCTGGTGATCTAAATTATACCATACAAGATAAACATACGTTTGTGGTATCTTTCACAAGTTCCCATTCCTAGAAGTGTGAAACTTAACCAGATTGCAAGTAAACTTGAAACAGCCTTTACGTGATGGAATTGACAGTAAAATTGCGATTATATGAAGGCAATCCTGTGATATAATGCTCACTGTATGACCCTAATAACCATGTTTCATTCGCTTACTGAGATGTTAGCAAGCAGGTAGTGATGAATCACTTCAACTACTCAAGTTCTCTGATTTACAATAACTGTGAAGATCGTATTATTTTATCATGGAAATCATTGCCAAACTGTAAAAACCTCAATGAAAAGTACTTTCCAGTAGAATGACAAACTTTTTCGTTTAATATGAAGCGTTATTTTGAATAAATCTTTATCTGTTATTCTAATCAAATGATAAATAAATATCAAGGTAGAAAGGATAGTTAAAAATAGAAACTGACAGGTGAAAATGTTATTCTTCAAGACAGAGATAATTTTTATTCAACTTCGTAAGTTGACTTATTCAATTTGACAATTAAATTTTTTTATCAAAGTTCTTGTCATGATGATAACCAAAAACTTTATCAAAAGTTGAACCCTATCCAAAAAATATATTATTGCTTGTCTTCTTATTTAAAATTGAAATTTATTCCATTAAAATTCATAATCGATCTAGGCTAGACCATCAATGAAAACCTGGAAGCGTTGGGCAGGCGCTTCGTTCTAATTTAGGCAAATTTAAATCGGTTCAAGATTTCAATGAATTTCAACTATCTCCACAAGCTCATACATACAGAATCTATTCATTGGAAATATAGATAAATACAATGTTGATAAATCACTGTGTAGCTGAAAATTGTTGATTATTTTTTACATGAAATGTGATTGGCAAATTTCAAATTTTATATTTGACAAACTACACTAACAAGCACTTTTACTTCTCATATCCCATTAACTTAGCAGATATCAGATAACGTAAGAATGTTAAACGTAGTTTGTACCCAAAGAAGCTTTTAATTCAGGCATCTAAAAATGATGTTGTACTAAAGTAGATAATTAGAGCGGAATAAACTTACATCCATTCTAGCTGGGCGTGTTTTCTTAGAATATTAATGGTAAAAGTTATACAACATAAGAGTAGGCACATATTTTCTAAGTAAAGAGCAGAAATTGGCATCTTATTCATCAAAAATATAAGAATAAAATGTATATCTTTATTAAAAAAAGCTTTAACTTCATCAAGAAACGAGTTATTTATGTACTAGGACAAACTCTTATGGATCTGTGCTAAACACCTTTAAAAATTTCGTTTCACTATCACTTGAGTCTTAATGGTGTCAACTTTTAGAGTTATTTAAAATATCTAAATAACTTATTTGAATTCAGCAAGCGTATATGTTCCATGTTTCATAAGATTAATTGTAAGACTAACGAATCAAGTGTATATAAAATTCTCCTTTCGAAAAACAACATTTTGACAAATACAAAACTTACTTGATATTGTAATTCTTCTGGTAACAGCTTATTAAACAAACATAATAAAAAGAGTAAGTATGCAGTATATGAGATAAAAAGTTTAACAAAATGGATTTCCAAACTATTGCAATCCTTTTAATATAATGAATTTTCAAAAATATAGTTATCGACATTCAGTACTACTAACTGAGTTCGTTATTATCTCTGGTCTTTTGTACCAATACTATGAACAGACGTACCATAATTTACTCACCTTCATAAAGTAAAAATTAAAATAGCAACAATGTAGTGGTAACCTGTGCGTTGATTATCATTACTCAATATAATACAACAATATAAACCCTAGTATATACTAACTTTAAGAGAATGATGTGAAATGCTAGAAGAAGAGTAACTTAGTTTGCCACTTATATATATATATATATATATATATATATATATATATATATATATATATATATATATATATATGCACATGTTCGATTATAAAACAAATTACTTCATTCCTTTTAGTTGTTGATTGTTTACAATTTTGAGTTTTAATAGTCGTGATTTTATTTGAACTTAGGACTAATATTGACTCTGTTGTCGTGTTAACAGTATGTTCATTCATTTAAAAGGTAGTAGATGTACACTGCTGAAGAGTTTTAAAATGAAACGAAATGGATGTCCATTGTTTCTTCAAATAATATCAGTTGATGATGACGGTCATCGTTGAAATAAAGAGGTGTATTTTTAAATATAAAGTTAATAAATTAGGGATTCAGTATAACTTACAAATTCTAGTTTTGATGTACCAAATAGGGAATGCATTAATTCATGATCGACATAAGGATGAGAAGGTTTCATATCCGTATCAATAAATGTATCCCTTAATATTAAAGTTTAAAATGGTAGAAATATAATATGACATGGTTGAAAATGTACGCAACAATGTCACATGTTTATGAATAAGTCTATTCAAATCCTCACCTTATTATATATTTTCTCACTTGTAACTAATTTTGACCCATAACCTCTAATAACTATTTTCATTAGTACAACAATTTGATGTAAGTAATCTCTGAGTATACCTATAACATCCCAATTATTAAAGATGACGAAGGTTTAAAATGCAATCAAATGATTTACTAGCATTACTTATTACTATGAATCTACGCTATTTATTACTCATTCAAGTGCTAATGATAAATAGTTTTGTGATATCCAAATTACTAGAAAATGGTATTTTCGACAAAAATATATTTATTATTAACATTCTGCCCAACGCCTAATTTATTTGAAACTATCAAGTCCAGCCATGGTATCAATACCTACCAACTCATTCAACTGTTGTCAATATTATCAACTTAACACTAAATAATTAAAAGAGCAAGTATCTGATTTAAACTGAGAAAATCTACAAAGCATTTAAGAGTAATAATGGTCACCAATTTTTTGTTACATGGTTCAATCCCATTATAATTTAAATATTGGAAAAAACGAACATATTCACCCACAAAACTGACATTATTAAAGATAAAACTGTCGAAAACTTTATTTGTTAGCCAGATAAAGCTTTGACAGCCGTAGAATTCTACTTGATATGCCAGTTTTCCACGTAAATCCAAGAATTCATACAAATAAATCAAAACACAAACATAGCCAAATTCAAATTTTTTTAAGAAAATTTTACTAAAGTGAAATACAACTTACCAGTTTAAACTCATAAAACCAATATCGTAAAGAAGTTGAAGTTTTTCTGCAATCCATTTATGAGGATTTTCTGGTAACATGACGCTTAAACCACTTAAAAGTGCCTTCAATAATAATCAATAATAACTATGAATAAACCACCAGAACATAGTAAGACAGTATTGTTGATTATGTATGCCTTTATAAAGAGTCATAAAGAATTTTGTTATTCATCTGATAAGTAAATAAATTATATAACACTGTCCACTACAATAATTTCATTATATCTTTTATAGTATTATTCAGTTGTACAAATATTAATGAAGACAACAAATGATAGTGAATACAAATGTTTTATCTGTAATTGAACAATCAGAATACTGATATTTCCTGTGTTTGATCACGTAATCAAATTCTCATTAGCTTTAATATTAAGTTATTCATAACTTCAGTAATTTTAATGCACTAAAAATGTTCATAGCTTTTATTGTTTACGATAGTAATCAGATAAGCATTTTCTAAACACTCAATATAAAAACAACAGATGATGAAATGACTGACAACATTAAAAAGAAAGATGTATTTATAAATGGTTTATTATTAAATTACTAACTAAAATAAAATAAGGATATATATATATATATATATATATATATATATATATAGAGAGAGAGAGAGAGAGAGAGAGAGAGAGAGAGAGAGATACACTGATAGTGAAAACTCTACCTTGCTTTTTAATCATTTCGCATGAGTTTTAGAAGTAACTAGATTAACCCATAGTGCCATAGAATAAGAAGAGAATTCAGCGAAGAAAATTTTCTTTTCGACGAAATCATTTAATTAAGCTGTACATTTGTATATATAGTTATATGGAAAACATATATCTATAGAAGGATAGAATAGCTTGCACGATAAATTGATTTGAGGTGCTTATTTTTATCACTTAATGTTCAGCTCCAAGATTTCTCTTTTTTTACTAAAATATTTGCTATATAACATTGTAAATAAACTTTTGAACGATTATTTGCATATTTTTTTAACTATTACTATAAACCTAGATCAACTTACACATAAACTACTTAATTTTATCTGAGTTTTTTTCAAATTATCAGTAATTTCGTTTTTAAATTGTAGACAGATGATAAAGCTCTATAAAATATTGGAATATATATCTTTCTGAGATTTGTTTTATTTTGTATAATTTGAGAATTTATATTGGCGGCCACTTGTTGAAGTGTAAATATTATTGCAAACTCTACAAAATTCTAAAAGTCTACGTCACGATGTAACTTGAATTACATGGCGACTGAAACCTATGAAGTACTGTAAAGTTTTGGCGTTCTGTTTTGGGACTTGTCAATAATGAGGACCCTTAGTATGGTCTGGAGTAGGTAGAGGCATTTCAGATCTTGTGATGAGCAAGCTACGTTTGAGTAACTGACTTGGAACCCAATAGTTCTCATTTATGAAATTACTATTAAGAATTCATTGCTAAAATAATCAATTTCAAAGCATCCTAAAGACTTTCTGGAGAATAGGGGAACTCTTAAAGATACAAGACCACTTATTATAACAGGAATTAGAACTTTAATCTCCAGGAATATGAGAGTAATATAAAAATTCGTTTATCGGAAAATGTACTGAAATGTTCACAAGATGATTAAGGAAGCTGATTTGGTCTTTATATTAAATTAGCTTCCATAAATATTAGAAACAACTTAAGCTAAGTTTGGTTAACATAGATATGTACTAACAGGTTTAACCAATGTTCATCA